GAGAGAGAGAGAGAGAGAGAGAGAGAGAGAGAGAGAGAAGAAAAATTTAGTTTACAGCAAAGAAAAGAGAATGAACTTATTCAAAAGGAAGTGCTGAGGACAGGAGGAGTGAGGGAAAGAGATATATCTATGTATGTAAGCAGGATGGTTTAGATAATTGTACTGTGGATTTCTGCTAGTCTATGGAAAGGAGCAGATAATGCTTAATTTTTTTTCCTCTACATTTTTTTCTTTTTTCTCTCTTCTTAATCGCTTATAACTTTTTTCCTTCTTCTAATTTCACATGCATATATCTGGTAATCTGAACAACTAATTTAAAGACAACACTATGTAATGCAACAAATACTATTGAATTCATATTATTTTGTTTAATGAAGTTCTGTATTATTTCTACTTTTTCTTTTTTATTGCTGTTTTGTATTCTCTTTTAAAAAGAAAAAAAAATAATTTAATGGCTTGTCAGTCTGTGATTATGTTTGAGCCCTTTGAAAACAAAGGCCACCTGTAAATTAAACCTGGCTGAATTTCTCATTGAACCCCAAACCCTAAACCACGTAATTAAATTGTATGGATTTCAGTGTCCAGATCTATAAAATATGAAAAAAATAAAAAATATGAAAAACCATTTTTTTACTTCTACTACAAAAGACTATCAAGTGTTAATGAATGTGACATTAAAATGAGATGACATTGTTTGATTAATTCTAGTAATAATTTTGTGCAGTAATGAGTATGTACATTACCATTGCAGCGATACTTGAGGTTGGACCAGATGATGTTTTCTTGAGAGAAGCAGAAAACGCCAAGTCGGCCTCCACGCATGGTTGTGTCTATGGTGACCCCAGAGTCTGCTACTAACTCAGAGCCTTCATAAAACCGCACTCTGCAGGAACACAAGCAGAACAGGCCTCCATGGAACCCAAGCGAAAGTGAAATGCCCACAGTGAGGGTCAGAATAGTCTCTTTTTATTCATACACCTACCTCTTCACTTTAACAATATTTTCCACTAAACCTGACTGTGCTCCAAGTGGTCCTCTTTCTTACTAGGTAGGAAGCTCCTTGAGGACAGGATCTTCCCAATGTGATGTTGAGTACCAAATCAACTTGATAGGTACTCACTGAAGAGTTGAAAATAAATTGTTTGATGTCATGGGTAAGAGGTTTTGAGACTATCTTATGTGATACCTAATCTAGATGTCTGCTCTGCTTAAGGTTTCCATCATGCGGTGAGTCTCAGAGCCATCACACTCTACAGGAAACAACACTCCCTCAGCAGGTCAAATATCTGCAGGGGCACTTTGGGTTTTTACAGTGGCAGTGAGTAATGGAAGTCAGGGATGATGGATGGTTTACAACACTAGAGAGAATAGTCAAAGCTTGTCCTTTATCCTGGACTCTTTTGAAGTGTCCTTGTAGGCATGCAGAAATGTGAACAGATTTTTCCCAATAACTGGAACCAAGAACATAGCTCTCTTTTATTTAACATCAAATATACTCTGTACTAAAGTGCTATTTATTTATTTATTTATTTATTTATTTTTGGTACTGGGGATCAAACTCTGGACCTTATACTTGTCAGGCAGTCAATTATGCCACTGAGCTATCTCCCTGGCCTTTGTGCTGATTTTATTATAAATTTAATTTTCCATGGTAAGTTGGAAAAGTACTGAGTATTTTGCTTTGTCTAAAAATTAAGAGGTGTCACTATTTTAGGACTTCATATCACTGTGAACAATACTATTGTAATTTTAAAATTACAGGTATATCCACCTGTATTTGATTGTCACCTCCATAGTGTTTCAGGAATGGATGCATTCCTACCTCATGCATTCCTACCTTTCACTTCTAGTGTGATTGTGCCCAAGCATTTTTATTTATTTATTTATTTATTTATTTATTTTTAATTTTTTTATTTTTCAACAAATAATACACTGCATATATTCTTCTTAGTGGTTAATTGCTGTACAAGATGGGGACTTGTGATCCTATTTACAAACACCATTAGAACAAATCATTCTATTCATTAACAGAATGTAACTATATATCTATCCCAACCACTTTGAATACACAGATACAAAATGGATATTCATCTGTATACCCCATTTTTTCTAAGTTCCGTTATTGAATATTATAGGTGTGTAAACTCAGCAAAATATTCTAAGAGTCCAGTAGCCCATAATAGCATTGGGTCTTCTGTTTAACTGGCAATGTCAGAAATTATTGACCTGAGTCCCCCACAGCTCAACTTAACAGCATGGCTTTATTTCTTATAATTTCGTCTTCATACTTTTCTGCTGGATGGTTAAGACCAAGGTAAAGCAGGACCTATGCAACAAGAGTTGTAGCTTTTTGGTCTGAGAAGGTCAGTGAAATGCCCTCAGGATTTGTCCTGAGATCCTGTACCTCAGATTGTAGAACCTTTATCAGTGCAGCCATGTGGATGAGTCATGGCCAATGTTTGTGTGCCCAAGCATTTACATGAAGCATTTACATGTTGTATAGTTCAAATTGATTTTTCAAAGATGAACTGTGCAGCTAGGCTACAATTTTTTTTTTCCTTGTAGTACTGGGGATTGAACCCAGAGCCTTGTCACTGAGTTACATCTGCAGTATTTTTGTTTTTTATATAGGGCTTCACAAAGTCACTAAGTAGCTTAGGCTGGGCTCAATTTGCAATCCTCTTGTCTCAGATGCTCATAGTGCTACACAGGTGCACACTACCATTCCCAGCTAGATTACATTTTCTACAATTTCATCTGGGACCAAAAGGGAGCATTTCAAAATATTTCTCATTATAAAAGAAGGATGTGGGTTTAAAGGGTTGAGAATATGATCATGCATAGATTGTCTCGCTGTGAGACCAACTGAGTACATTTGACATAATATCACAAAGAAAAACAAAATATGAATCAGCCTTCACATTAATTTTCCCACCAGATTGTTTTCCTGTATTAGTCAGGAATATGAAATTCATACTCCTTTGTAGATGTACTACACAAGCTGTCATGAAGGCTGATCTGTGAGTTAGAGGAAGGAAAAACAGTATACTATCTAAATTTCAAAAATACAGCCCTAAACCATTAAAATTCCTGCAACTAATTAAAAAGCACAGGCCTAAAAAGCAATGACATAGATGTTGGGCCTCTATGATGAACACTTTGTGCCAGGGGCTGAGCTGGGCACTGGTGAAAATAAGATGGAAAGGTCACAGGTGCTTCCCACCTGGAGTTTACAATCCATCATGGAAAACAGATAATCAAGGACTCAGGACATTTCATGTAAGTCACATAAGGGGTGAGGTCCACAGGATGTGGGGGTGCTTCAGTCACACTTTTGACCTCATGCTTATCAGCAGTCTCACTCTGCAGCTGTCCCATGAGCACAACATAAGGGTACCACCATGCAGTACACCCATTCACTCAACGTTGAGGGTTCCCAACACTCCTTCCATCCCCAACTTGCCCTCTCAATGTGATCTTTGCTTCTGAGCTAGGGAAGGAGAAAGAACATTTGCCTACCTGATATAGCCCACCTGGGGCCTATGCTGCAGGAACCAGCGGTAGGACACTTTGTCCTTCCAGCCCACATTCCTGGAGTCCTTCCACAGCAGTCTGACCTGGTCACTAGTGTCCCCTGTGTGCCACAAGGAATTCCGGAGGTGCTCCCCAGGACCTGTCTTGGACTTTACCGCCTGGACAAACACACAATCAAGGTATCAGACTAGGATATAGAGAGACTTCTTTCTTGCTTCCTGTGTCAGAAATGATAATATAGTGATGAATTTGTGGCTATAAATCAGAATGCTTTGGCCTCAGACAAAAGCATAAACACTTAAATGTCAGTTCTACTAAGGTGACCACAGCCCCTTAAGTAGTAAACAATACCGTATGAAGGGCTCATTTTACTTTGTCTTGCTATACACCTATTTCTCCCTACATTTGCCCAGGAAGGGATCCTACCAATATCTGGCTGCTGAAGCCTGTCTTCAATCCCAGCAAGATTGACAGAGGTAACCCATCAGCCCTCGAAAACAGCTTGCCTCATTAACAAAGTCATTAGCCAGCTTCCACCATGGCATGCCTGAAGATACAACCCTGCCTTCTCTACCTCTCTGAGGCTGCTGTTCAGATCAGAGTCAGAAATGAAGGCAAGGCCTTTTGCCAACTCCAGTCTTTCCTGACCTAAACATGAACATCAATTCCATCAATTTCTTAGATCAACTATGTGCCATTTAGGAGAATGTAGAATTTAAAAGGAGGGTGGAGGGCCTGGAAGAAAGATGAGCAGCTTCAAGCCCCCATACCTTGAGCTGAATGCCAGGCTCTGCCACAGCTCTGAAGGGTGTGGCTTGCCAGTAAGTCTGCTCTGTCTGCTTCCACATGACCACGTAGAAACTGGAGCTGTCTTGGTAACCAAAGATAAAACCTGCATAGTCATCATCTGTTTGGGTGTTTACATGGAAAGTGCCTTCGAAGTCAACTCCATTAAAAGCAGTGTACCCTACAGAGACCAGATATGGTTAGGAAAACAGACAAGCCATATTAACAGCTAGAAGGATTCTATGTGCATAGTAATTGGGGCTCTGGACCTACCCACAGCGAGGCCAGGATCACTGTTCATGGTCTGCACAATCTCCATGCCCTGTAGAAGAAGTGAGGGAGTTCAGAGACATACTGATGGGGATAAAATGAATGTGGGGAAGCCCAGAATCTCTATGTGAGCGATGGTTAGCAATGTCTGATTTCTGTGTAAAGATTTCATTATCTGGGTAGTTGCTATGTGTTGTTATGAACTCAGATAAAGAACAAATTGATAAAGAAGATTTAAAGAAGGTTAAATAGAAATAGAAATAATTTAGTTAAGACTTTTACTTAAGCTGATTTAATGAACCCTGAACTGGCAGTGAGAACACATAGATGAACAGTTTGCTGGAGCTTGTTGCTCCTGCGCATCCGCCAATAGCCATTCTTCCCATGCAATCAGTAGCAATCCAGACAAGATGGTGAAGGTTGGAGTGAACGGAGTTGGCCGTATTGTATGCCTCGTCACCAGGGCTGCTTTTTCCTCTGGCAAGGTGGATATTGTGGCCATCAGTGACCCTTTTATTGACCTCAATTACATGGTCTACATGTTCCAGTAGGACTGTACCCACGGCGAGTTCCATGGCACTGTCAAGGCTGAGAACAGGAAGCTCATCATCAATGGAAAGGTCATCACCCTCTTCCAAGAGTGAGATCCTGCCAACATCAAGTGGGGTGATGCTGGCACTGAGCACGTGGTGGAGTCCACTGGTGTCTTCACCACCATGGAGAAGGCCAGGGCACACCTGAAGGGTGGTGCCAAAAGGGTCATCATCTCTGCCCCTTCCGCCAATGTCCCCATGTTTGTGATGGGTGTGAATCGCGAGAAATATGACAACTCCCTCAAGATTGTCAGCAACGCTTCCTTACCAACTGCTTAGCCACACTGGCCAAGGTCATCTATGACAACTTCGGCATTGTGGAGGGACTCATGACCATGGTGCATGCCATCACTGCCACCCAGAAGACTGTGGACGGCCCCTTTGAGAAACTGTGGCGTGATGGCCGTGGGGCTGTCCAGAACATCATCCCTGCATCCACTGGCACTGCCAAGGCTGTGGGCAAGGTCATCCCAGAGCTGAACAGGAAGCCCACAGGCATGGCCTTCCATGTGCCCACTCCCAACATGTCAGTGGTGGATCTGACCTGCTGCCTAGAGAAAGCAGCTAAATACAATGAAACTAAGAAGGTAGTGAAGCAGGCATCAGATGGTCCCCTCAAAGGCATCCTGGGCTACACCAAGGACCAGGTTGTGTCTTGCACCTTCAACAGTGACACCCACTCTTCCACCTTTGATGCTGGGGCTGGAATTGCCCTGATTGACCACTTTGTAAAGCTCATTTCCTGGTATGACAATGAGTTTGTCTACAGCAACAGGGTGGTAGACCTCATGATCCACATGGCCTCCAAGGAGTAAGTGGCACCCCACCACAGCCTGGCGAGACCAGAGGGACGGAGAGGCCATGCTGTAGAAGTTACTGCCCTACTCAGCCCCCACACTGAGACTCTCCTCCTCACAGTTTCCATCCTAGGCCCCCTAGAAGGGGAGGTGCCTCGGGATCCCTGGCTCGCTGCCCTTGCACACCATCAACAAAGCCCACTGTACCTAGAAAAAATAAAGTTTGCTGGAGAGGGTGGGAATGTATTGCAATGCATTCACTGACATGCAATCACTGATATATTGCAAGACTCAACTTAATCATCTATAAAATGGGCATAATGAAAATACAGTACTCTAATTCAGGCTCCCGTGAAGAATACATGCCTCATGCCAAGCCAGCACCCTCTAAAATTTGCCTGCTGCGGTCAGAAAGACCTTGTTTAGAGGCAGATTTGAAGAGTTTCCAATCATATGACACTGACCTGGTTCAGGACCACCCAGTTGGGGTCAATTTGGGCATCCCCTTCAGGGTCCAGGACCACTGTTTGATAGGCCCTGAAGTCAGTCAGGGTGATCTCCGCATTCTCCGGGCAGACGTCAATCCGGTCAATGACTTGATCCTGGTCAAAGTCAGTCTCACAGATGTCTCCCACCCCATCTCCTGAGTTGGGGGAAAAAAGGGGTATAACTTGATAGCACTCATACCTACCAGTCCTTGATGGAGCAAGGAGACTAAGCAGGGGACAGAAGCAAAGCCTAAATTCCCACCCTCAGGGTGACAATATGCAGCCTTTGTGGTGGGTGACCAGGTCCTCACCACCCACAGGCTTCCTAGTAAGAGCAGTTTGAACAGCTGCCTTGAGGTCAGTCCCCAGAAGTTCTTATCATGCATAGTTAGCTTCACCACCTGGAGGATTTTAATCTTGATCTTACAGAAGCAACATCTATAGAATCTCTTGGAATATAATAAACCACCAGGGAGATTGCTATTACTATTGTTTTCAGAATCTCTCTGAGTCTAACTTCTGGCGACCCCTAGACTGCATCTGACCCATGGCAGCTTTATTCAGCTAACGTGACACTTGAAACAGCTGAATTTACATCATCACCTGATGAGTCTTTTCCCAGTGAACAAAGTCCCTTTTATAAACTTCCTGCCATCTCAGTGCATACATTTTCTTACCTGCAAGGCCCCTGCAGTCATCTCAGTTTGTTGCCTTTGTATTCACCATTTCTGCTGTGCCCTTCTTCTTCTGTGCTCCTCTCCTATAACTACTAGATGAAGGAGCAAGCAAAGCCGTGTACTGGCTCTCAAGTCCCTTAGGGACTGAACTGCATGTAGCATGTGGCTGCTGCCTTGCTCTGTGCAGTCTGTTTCAGGCTACTCAGGAAGATACACAATCAGCCCTCACAAAGCTGGATGCTGCTGTGTCTACCATATGCCTACTGCCCCAAAAGTTACAGCTACATGGAGAAGCTAGTTTGAAGCAGCAGCTACAGTGCCAAGGAAAGACATGTACCTAGGTCTGGCCAGAAGGAGCCTACTTACTGTTACTATCCTCCTGGGCTGGGTTGGGAATCAGTCGGCAGTTGTCTGGTCCAGGGGGCACCAGGTCTGGGATGCCATCATTGTCATCATCGTCATCACATTCATCCCCAATTCCATCTTTATCTGTGTCCAGCTGGGCACTGTTGATGACAGTTGGGCAGTTGTCTGTACTGTCCTGGTGGCCGTCTCCATCACTGCAGAGAAAGAAGCACAGTTCAGCAGGCAACATGGGCATCCATTCTCAGGAAGGAGAATCTGGATTTGTTGTTCTTGTTGTTTGCTTTGGGGGGGTTTCATTTGTTTATTTTTTAACCAGCCTTCTTTTTATCAGCCCCTAAAGGGGCTTTTCTTTTGATACACCTCTCTTTGGGCCTCAGAGATGTTAATTATATTTCCCTGACCACTTGAAATAATCTATCCATTTCTTACTCAAGAAGAGTATTTCTGCAATTGGTGACCAAAGACTCCTGTCCATCCCAAGGGAGTATAGATGACAGCTGACTCAGAGGACATATGAAGGACACAGAGTGAAAGTCAGTGGAGCCACTCTAGTGTGACTGCTGGCTCAGTTGCCCATGAGTGGCGACTCCAGGCATGACATACAGATATACAACTCCATTCTCAATATCCTCATCTGATGAAGATAACAACAAAACCACCTTATAGGTTCTTATAAAGATTAAACAGTCTGAATTCTGCATAAAAATTATAACATGTGAAAAGCACTTCCTAAGGTCCTAACTCTTGGGAGGAAGTCTACAGGACTTTCTGTTTATCTATTTTGCAGTCTCTGACCAGCAGACCCATCTAGGCTTCAGAGTTGAATGCCATGGGGAGGGTGACAGAGTATAAAGCCATCCTCTACCTGAGATGTAGGCATGTGAGCTTAGCCAAGGATGTGTCCAAAGGAATTTTGAGATTTGTTTTTTGTCCATCCTACTTTTCTTCTTTCCAGACTGAAGAACCCCTTGATGATGGCTGTGTATTCTCCCTCAGAAGCTCCCTGAGTTTGTGGAGGCCTCAGAATAAAAGACTTTTCCTCAGTACTGGGAATCATACTCATGGGTGTTCTATCATTGAGCTATATCCTTAGTCATTTATTTTAAAACAGGGTTTCACTAAATTACCCAGATTGGCCTCAACCTTGTAGTCCTCATGCCTCAGCCTCCCCAGTGATGGGATTAGAGGTGTGTACCACTATGTCTGTCCAGGTCCTTCTTTCATCCTTCTCTCCCTGTTTCCTGTTGTGGGCGAAGTATTGTACTTATATCCTCCAGGATGGTATAGAAGAGAGAGGAACCAGCCTACACCCTGGAGGGATATTTTTTATATGGTTAGGGGAAAAAAAGAATCCCAGTGAAAATGAGGCCAACCTGGACAAGCAAAGGGATGTGCCTTAAACAGCAGAATTCTTGTGTACACAGCAAGACTTACTTACTTACTTTCTTTCTTTCTTTCTTTTTTTGTTTAGTTTAGTTTTGTTTTGTTTTGCAGAACTGGGGATTGAACTCAGGCCCTTGCACTTGCCATGGAAGCACTTATTCTACTGAGCCATCTCCCCAGCCCAATACTTCTTTTTCAAACCTAGATTGAATGTTTCCATTAATAGTCATTCTATAGAGTTCCAAACATTTGTATTAAAAAGCAAGCAGTTCATAACCTCTCCCCAAGGTTTAAGTTTGTAAGAATTAAAAATGAAATAGAATGAGTCCATGTTTTAGGTAAACATTTAGTGGTTGATGGGATGGAAGGCTTTAAAAATTATTCCAAATGGTAATCAGGTATAAGATGACCTCTAACAGGGGACATTCTTGCTATATGTAATTTAGGGTAGCCGTGGAGGGACAGTGCCATCCTCTACTCTGAAATAGAGAGAGACATGCAATATCAGACTCTGTCACTGATTCACCCTTCCTGTGCCAAGACACGAGAAACAACACAGCCCCATTCTCCACAGTGAATGGCACGGTGCCAGTGCTGCACCAGGAGCTTCACCCTCATTATCATGAATTTTCACTATAACCTGTGAGATGCATTTCATGGTCTCTACTTTGAAGAGGAAATTGAGACCAGGGAATCTGTTTAAGCTCACTCAGCCAGCTTGCACTTGGAAGCAAGGATGTGGAGCCAGGGAAGGAAAGGAGACTCAAGGAGCTGTCCTTGCTTGAGTTCGGGTGGAGAACTAAGCTTCAGGGCAACCTGTCATCTGGGTACTAGAAGAGAAACTTTGTCTCTTCCTCAGCTGCCTTTTGGGATCCTGCCCTCTTCTCCCTGTTCTGACTGCCTCTCCAAGAACTGTTGGGAGAGTGAGGGTTACATCTTGGACTGTAGGTGGCTCCAGGGTTAAGTGGCATTTAGCTGTGTGGTGGTTTTTGTGATATTCCTCCAGCATCTGTTAAAGTCTGGTCTCCTTTTGTCAATCCTGGGGACTGACTTCTTTTGTAAATCTCAGGGCCTTGCAATCTACCACTGAGCTACACCCCTCAGCTGACCAGCACTGGTCCTAATATAAGACTCCATCTTGTTGGGCTATGAAGGTTGGTAAAATGTGCTCAAACAGGATAATTCCACCCTAGAATAACTCCACATAGAATAATTCACTGGGATTTTCATCTATCTGTTTCATTCTAAAGCTGGTTAGAGCATACTATACTGCCTCTTCCATAATAGAGTGCATTTTCTGGGGCCCATTCTTACCACTATCACTCTTACACAGCATTTCAGAGATGTAGGGTGGCCCTGACCACAGACAGTTATTTTCCCACAAGAAGCCCAACCTTCCAAGAGAACCCCAAGACATGGTACAAGCACAAAACTCTGAAAATTAGTACTCTGGATTTTGGCATCTGCCTCTCTGCAGCTAGATATACCATACCTGTCCTGATTGGTATCACAGGAGTCCCCAACCAGATCATTATCCACATCAGACTGCAGAGAGAACAAAATATTATTTAGTGCACAGTTTGCATGTACAGAATGTTCCAGATGAGGCAGACCTGGCCCATCATCACTAGATTTCAGGACTTATTTCTCTGGAACTTGGGTGGTACAAAACTGCAAAAGAACATCATATTGGTGTAGGCACAATGCTGAATTTTCAAAAGAGCCTTCTAAAATATCAATCTACATGGATGGACTGTCTACACACCATAATAGCTCATTCCACAAGGGTTCCAGGGCAACATGATGGCGGGTGGAAACATAGGGCTTTGGCACAGACCAGAAGTCCTAGGTTTGGGGACAGAGTAAATTGCCTCTGCATTGCTTCTGCATTTTGGAATTGAGTCAAGTGGAGAGTGAGTCACAGAGGGCAACAGTGACTCCCTCTCAGGGAATTAAAAACAAATGGCACATCCTGCCCAGGTGTCAGATAGGGAAGGGGTAAGGAGGGAAGCTCAACACATCATTGACTGAGTTTAATCTCAAACATCCATACATAGGCTGTGGAGGAGGTTGGGGACTACAGGAACATGTGATTAGGTCTCAA